GTGTGTGTATGTGTGTGTATGTACGTAATATATATGAAGAATGACCCGAATTAAAATTCAAATTATAAAAACTTGCAAAAAGAATTTGGAAAATAAATTCGGATTTAAATTAATCCAGGCATAAAATTTGTCTTCCAAGACATTTATTCGCTATGTTCCATATCATATCAAAAATAAATTATCTATTGGAAAAGTTGGAAGTTTTAATTTGATTGAAAGAGTTAACAACATTAACGAATGATGTAATCAAAAAAGAACAAAGTTAATTGATCTGCTCAAAAAGAGCAAAAAAAGAAGACAGTTAAAGGGAGGAACATGTATGACCAGAAGAAAATTGTTATGGTGCCGTTGATACCTGTGCTACCGTTACGTCTCCTTCCAATACGTCGTGTTATCGTCATTTGTCGTGATGTGGCAATGGTTGATAATGGCTGATTGCTGTGTTACCAATCAGGTAGGGTAGTGTAGTGCTTGCCGCAGTTCGAATGGTGCAGTGGAAAAAAGCAAAAGGCGGTATCGGTCTTAAGATGCTTTTGCGCTGAGCAGTTTTTACAAACTAACAAAAATATGTTAAATTTCGAGCAAAAAAAAAACTTCACGCAAGTTCTCTTTCTCCTACTTTTGATGAAAACTGCTTTCCTTAATTATGAAATAAGTTAATTTCATTTATTTAATATAGTTTGATATCATAATCTAATTTAGTGTAAATAAAGTTTGAGGGATAGAAAAATTTTAGTTAGATTAAAATTCAAAAAAGAGAGAGAAAAACTGATCATTAATAATAATAACTCATTGTAAAACATTTCTTGAAATATATTTTACCTATTTTTTCGATAGTTTTTGGGAACAGAATAAGAGATACAACTATTTATTACTTCTTGCCATTAGAATAATTTATTATATTAAATACACCATGCCATCGTTCTTTGTGATGTGCTTAGTTTGATATTCACAATATGAAGAAAGAAAAAAATAATCGCAAATATTATTAATGTTTTATCATCATCACATAGAAATTTACCATTGTCAATCTCGTAAATTATAGTTAAAAAGAATGAAAGTTTAGCTCATGGATTAGGAAAAGTATTAAAATGTAATGCTTTTGAACAAAAGAATATGCATAAACTGAAAGGAAAGAGAAATAACTAAAAACGAAATAACTAAAAATGCGGAAATGTCCGGAACTAATTTAATGGAACAGTAAAGTCAATCAAATCATAAAATCTGTTATCATCATCTTATCCTCTTAGATAAGGATAGAAAGAGCGGAAGAAGAAGGAAGAGAAGGTAATAAGAGGAAATAAGATCACCGCCATACGAAAGGATCAAATGGAGTGGGAACAGAAAGTGGCTAAGAGAGAAATGGAAGTGCAGTATCCGCCAAAACGACCCAAATTCAGAGGTGTTCTCCCGAGGGGTGGAACAGAGCATAATCATAACTACAATGTGTGATGGTGTAAGTACAGCAGTGCACTCAATTCATTCCTTCAACCCTATATGTTATTGAACTTTTTCTTGTTACATCAAATTTGATTAATTCACTCCCAGAACTACTAATCTATCACCCAATTAATTAGCCACCTGAAATTATCATTTGGCTTAGCTTGATGTAAAAATTTATGAATTGATGATCAATGCGCATGCTATCTGTGGCAATTAAATCCATTCAGTTCAGTTTCATGTTGAAATTTTCCACTCGATCGGGATAATTTTTGATTTTTTGACAAAATCAGCAGAAATGCGAGGAAAAATGAATTGCGAAATCAGTTTTAATAATTCTGAGTCAGCAAATAACAGTTGTTGCAAGCATTCCAAGTTGGCGAAGATTTTCACAGCAATTCTAATCAAAAAAAAAAAAAAAAACCGAAATCAGAATTCAACTTTAATCTTAATAAATGCTTGATCGTCGTTCAAAACAATTTAAATATTACTGAAAATAATACAATCAATTAGTCTATTTTCTTATCTATTCATGCGAATAATTTCTTAAAATTAAGAAATATATGACTTCAAGAGATAAAAAAAGTTAAATAAGATGGAAAGATGATTTTCCCAAATGAATAAATCTTAAAGTTGTCAGTCATATGCGAATTCAAAAAACATCAAGTCCTTTTCGTTCTCCCTAGTAGTTATTTTCAAAAAAATTCAAAAAACATCAAATCCTTTTCGTTCTCCGTAGTAGTTATTAAAATTTTTGATTCTAGTAAACTATCGAAATTAGCAGAATTTTTGAGGATATTCTGTCGAAATACACCCCAAAAGTTTCACTATTGCTTAAATTACTAGTTTTTACGAATAAAAGTGATGTACCGTCAGAATACACTAAACATTTATCATGCAAAAAGTTATTTTAAATTAAAAAAGGAAAATGAAAACAAGATTAGAGGATCTGATTGACGAAAATTGAATTTTCAATTAGTAACAGCAACAGACAGACATAAGTACCACCTGCAATCACCAAATATGACTTTTATAGGTGCTAATTTTATCCACACTGAGCAGATATTATTATAGATCATAAAATGAAATAATTACCATACATTCTGGAAATACTGGTTATAACGCATGCAAAATAGGGAAATTTCCCATTGTAAGACTTGACAGAATGCCTCTCTTTAAAGCTATTTTTAATAGAAATGATCAGTTTTCAATTTCGATTTAAGGTAAAAATAAATATAGATTGTTATTTCAAAAACTGATAAACTTGCTATCACTATCACATTTTTCTAAAGCTCGAATAAAATTTAAGCAGACCGATTGATTTCAACAACTTTTCATCATTACAAAATTTTGGAATGATAGGTTTGCGCAATAACATTTAGCGATACATACGGATAAAAATTCCCTTAGTTTTTTTTTTTGCAATAGTAAAACATAAATGTTGTTCTAATTTGTTCACATTTTCGTAAAAAGTTTTATCTGCAAAATGGTTTGTATTCATTGAAATATGACATCAAAATAATTTAGATCAGAATTTTCATTTCTGAACTTTATATCTAAAATATGGATGAAATAATTATTATTCCTTTTTGATTATATCATTGACTACCATATAAATTCAATTATTTTATTCTTAGCAGACAGTGACGATAGAGTGTTCCAAGTTTTTGACAAATTCTAACAATTCATCTGAGAATTACATGCAGAATTTAATCAATTGTCAGTGTAAGTACAGATAGGGAAATATAGCAAATGGAAAACAGTAACAGAAAGTGTGCTGAATGCGACAAGGAAGAAAATAACAGTATGAATGTGGATGATTAATAGCAGTCGGAGAGTCTGAAGCGTCCTTTTTCATAACCAATATAACTAACGTCAATATTACCATACATATACTATCAACCAGCATTCATACATCGACGATCATTATGAATAAATCAAAAAAAAAAAAAATCATGAGTTTTAATCTGATTGAATTCTACAATTTCATCAGGGATTTGGACGAAATTGTTGATTGATTTTGTAGTGGTGTTTCGTCAGTATTAAAACAAATTTTCCAATTTGATCAAATTCGATTTTATTCAAGTGAATTTCAAATTCCATTGATAGATATAATAATAAATGAGAGTCATAATAGCTTTCCTATCATCCTGTCTTCCAATGTTACCGATTATATATATATATATATATATATATATGCGTGTTAATAAATGCTATGTTTGCTTTTTTTTTGGAATCAAAAGTTACTTTCTGCTTTCAAAAAAATGAAATCTGGAAATTCAGAAAAAATCAATCTTCATAAAAAACTCGATCATCAACACAAATTTTTTGATTTTTAATACATCTCGTTCTTTTTGAGCCATCTTCACTGACAAGTTTTATACCAATATCAGCCGTTATTGCTACCTGTAAATGCTGCAATATGGATTTCTAATACGGAATGAGTCATTCTTTCGATCATATTGTTATGCCTATCATTAATAAATATCCATTATATATCTTTATTTCATTCATTCTTGAAAGCTTGTTAAGAGTAAGTATTCAAATGATACAGCATTGCTAATCTGGATGACATAAATAGTTAACAAACAAAATAGACAAAATATCTGAGCTACACAGTTAAACAGTGAACATATGATAGATTACATTTAATCCATGCTTGTCGGATAAGAAAATGGTGATTTTATTTATATCACTTTCAGATTCAGCATTTGGCATCTGTAAATTATACAAAGAAAGACATGTGAGAAAAACAATTGTGAACTAAAAAAATTATGAGAGTCAGTCATTATGGGCGGTTAATCTTTTTAGCATAAAAGGAAAACTGATCGTCAGTTCGTGTTACTAATCATTATGTTTTAGATTGTTGTGTACATCTAACATTTCAATGAATTCATTATTTCGTAAAACTCACTGTTGGCACATCCGAAATTATCTCTGCACTAAGATCTAATTGTGTAGTATCATCTGCTACATAAAAAGTACGCCTCGGAGAATCAAATGATGCCGATTTATGTGTTTCTGGTTTCGGTTTTTTTATTCGCCTAAAATACAATAGGATTGATGGTCAACAAATTTAGTTTCAAGTTCGTATTTGGAATGTTTAAATTTCTAAGCTGAAATTCCAAGATCGTCCTTCAAAAAAATTCTGGAAAAATATTTATACGTCTTAGACCGAAACTTTCCCATTAAATATCATTTATGCGTTGACTTCTTAACGCATCTCCGTTTGATTTCAAAAATGCATAGATACTGTTTTAACTTTTAAAATAGGACCGCATAATATCTTAATTATATGTCTTTATAAAAAATACGTGATTTCTGGCAGCTTTGGTTGCAACAAAACTCCAGACGGCTTCCTCCAGATGCTTGCTGATTTTGAACAACAGATGTCATCTGGATATTCATGTACCAGATCTAACAAATAGTATTTTTGTAAAAATAAATAGTGATTTCAAAGAAAGTTTATACAAATAGTAATTAGTGAAAATTTCAAAATAAAAAATATAAGAAATTGAAACATATCAATTCTAAAAATTTTAACAGAGAAATTACCTTACGAGGATTTGCCCAAACTCATAAATCATGAAATTCAAGCATAGATTTATCTCTCGACTGCATTACAATACACAACAAAAAATTAAAGTTAAAGCACTTCTTGCTAGGCCTTTAAGACTGAGGATATTTAAAATCCTATAATTTATAATAATAACCACAAATGTGGTTATTATTATAAATTATAAAGGAACTATTATTACGTCTTTTGTAATTTCGAAAAATTGGAAACCGATTGCAAAATGATTTATATGAATAGCATAAGAATACCTTTTGAAGATAAGAGAGCAGTGCTTGACGATGAAGCTTTACGAGCAGTAGTGAGTATAGATTTTTCATGGATACTAAAGCAAAATCAATCAATCTTGATTACTTTGAATCTAAGTTGGTACTATATTTAGAAAAAATATAACGCATAAATCAATCAAACGAAGAAATATTATAATCAAAGTATTTTGTCTAAAAAGAAACATGCTTACCTGCTGGAGTCATATTCAACAGATGGATCTGATGAATGATCTGTAACATTATTCAGCACTGATAAAAGCCAATATCTTAGTGCTAACTTTTTTGATACTATAACAATTTCTACTTACCACTTTCTGATTCGCTACCACCACCAGCTGACGTATCACTTAATTCTGCAAATTAATGAAGATGTAAAGTGAAATTTCGAGATCTGAAATTTAAGTTATTAAAAAACGGAATCGGTTTATGAAGCCATTTTTACTGCATTCATATGATTCCCATCAAACATAAGCAAATTTGATGAACAAAAGAACATAGGAAGGACCACAAAAATAAAAACATAGCAGTCTACCGTTAAATAATTATTCCACCCATGAGAACTGTTTTATAAACAATTTTTTTTAATAAACAAAATTTGAAAATTATGAAAAAAGAACTATTTTTTAAATTTTTTAAACGATTTTTTTTAATAAACAAAATTGAATATGAAAATTTCTTCAAATTTGAATCTATCATTGAAGTTTATTATCTTATACATGAGAATGAAAAAGAAATGACAAATATACTTGCTAATAAAATCATGATAAAAGATTTTATCACGATTTCATTAGCAAGAGTTGAACGTAGTTTCTATAGATTTCGAAATTTGTTATCATTTATTCATTCACTATTGTATTATTATTAATATTGTTATTACAATAATATCATTATTATTGTTATTGCTATTACTACTGTCAATTTCACCGTCATCATCATCATTTTGGTTACTAGATGACCCTCAGATTTTTAATATACAACCGATTTGTGAGAATAGGCATTTCTAACCGGACTTAGGCGGAGAATTATAAATTCGTTTCGCGGCTTTCAGATTTGTTTGCTGTGTTGCTGCAACCATTGACTGTTCCGGTAGTTCTCGTGATGATAGATAACTAAAAATTTAGCGTTATAAGAAATTGAATATGGAAATTTCTCCAAATTTGAATCTATCATTCGACTGTATTATTTCTAATATATGACAATGAAAAAGAGACAAGCATTTTTGCTATTTTCAATTTTACTTGTGGATAGAGTTTGATTATGAAACCAATAAATGTTATAAATTGATAAGAACGTATACAATCTGCGTCACAGCTGCTATTCTTTAATGAAATTAAAATGCAAAAATTTAAACTCAAGTTCTTCATTAAAATAGTGGAATGCATCGATGATTTATCATCGTAATTTGAGAAAGATACCAAGAATTGAAAAGTACTTTATAGCTTCCATTATCAAAAAGAAATGAAAGTACCTTCCAAGGAGAATTCGAATAGTGAAATAATTATATTATAAAAATGAAAAAATTAATTGGGAAAACGAAAAAAGCAATGAAACTGTTTAGCAGCATAGTACTTGAAATGATATCTTTTTAAAATTGGAATTATTTGAAAAAAATTTGAAAAGATAAACTTGGATACTAGAGATTCGGGATAGCCTTCACAAATATCAGTGCTATAATCACATGCCTCATACCATACATACGATTTGTCCGGAAATGTAAAGAAATCACAGCATTATACATTTATTTCACAAAAATTTTAAATAGTCTCATACATAACTATAATATTTTTCCAAAATGAAATCTACTTGAGTTCAAGTTGTATGATTCAGAAAGAAGAAAAATTTTCAAGATTTCCTTCAATTTTTTTATACAATGGTAAATGACGATACATTATATCAATTTAAAATTACAAAAATTCCTTAAGCTAAACAAAAAACCCTTAATCTCGCCACTGCTGATAACTCCAAAGCAGTTTCGATGGTTAATAATCCTTTACCATAACCAACCAATTGATCAAAGTTATAAATTTCAGTTTCAACTGATTTTATGCCATTGTTACTGCGATGTCCAATTAGTTTCTGTCAAATATTTTTCTAATTTTATTTTGCCGCTATTTTCATGACTCTTGCGCGAGGGAATTTAAATAATGAAAATAATTTTTTATCCTCTCATTCAAGAATGCCCCATTTCTCTCGTAAAAATAAAATCTAAGAAGTTAAATTAGAATTTTTCAAAGTATGGAAGGTTGAGAAAAGAATAAAGAACATGAACAGGGCAAGCAAAAAATCTCGAAGAAAAAAAAGTGAAGTTTAGTGAGAATGCTTACTTTATCTGGTTCTTTGTTACTTTTTTTGCATCTCAATTCGATCGAATCAATCATTTTATAATTCTTATTTTTTGTAAGTATTATCTTATTACAGCATTTTGCATAAGCCGGATCAAAAAAATTCTGAATCGCTTTTGTTTTACTGGTCTTTTTCATATTGGTGATAACTTTCGATACTGAAGTTAAATTGTTTTATAATATATCATCCAGTTAAATCAGTTTTCTCTCTTTGGGCATTTGAATTTAATATTGAAAATTAATGAACTAATTATAGATCTTAAACAAAGGTACATAATACATGGTTTGCCCAAATCCTAATGCTCACTTATATTTCATCGAAAATGTCAACAGGATATAATTCTCTCTACAGCTGAATTTTACTATCTTTTTTAAATAAGTCGTTCATTTATGATTCGAATATTTAATCGAAATGAATAGTACCACTGTTGGCATTGATACTGTCACTATCATAAATTCGAATTTCATCATGCACAATGCCCGCAGGGATATTTCTATTCACTGGTGCAAGTTTCATCAATCTAATCAGAAGTAAACATCCATCATATACAAATAAAGTCAACTTATTTCTCGGTCCATAATATTTCTCATCTTTCTGCAAAACATGTAACTTTTAAGTCCTATGCTTATCTCTTTCTATTTATCACTACGTCTTAGTACAGGATAGCAGTTTTATCTGATAAAAAAAAAAAAAACTTTATTTACATAAAATTAGGGACGAGTTCATTTTCTGTTCATTTAAAATACTCCACATAAATTTAGTTCCATCTATTTACCTACTCACTATCTTGCCTATTTATTGCAGGTTTTATTTAAATCATTGTCAATATAGCAGTTCAAAGAAATATTTCACAATTAGTTATTTGAAACAAATGCTTTTCCATAGTGTAAGCTAACTTTAGTTGAGTGAGGGAACCGTCAACTTACTTTAATAGGCTCTAAATGCATTGTTTTCGGCTGTAGCAAAGCACGTTCACGTTTTTGAGTTTTTCCATCATTTCCAACAAGTTCAATTTTGTGTTCTAAATGCATTTCACCGTTACGTGCTTGATTAACGCGCATCATTGTATGAATTCGTATCGGTTCTGTAGATAATTATTTCATTTTCATTTACCAACGAATTATTCACTTAGTGTAGCTTCAAATCGAAAAATTACATTGCATAATTATTAATAAAATATATAGTATAAGTGTTCAGTTATGTAAATGGATGAATTACAATAGTTACTAATAGGATATAATAATTCTACTTCCAAATTTCGACCGAACTAATATGACGACAAATAGCTTATTATCTGTAATCTATTAAGAATAACAGACGAAACTTCAGAATAATAATATTAACTGTATCAATTGAATGAAGAAGCGAACGAGGCATACACTCTAAAGAAGAGTTTTTGTAGAAAAATCTTATACTACTCGGTATTTTTTTAAAAAAAAAACCTAAATAGGTTCGTTATTTTGACGTAAAATTATGTCATTATCATTATTTAATTGTATCTAGGCAATAAAAAACATTTTAAAACCACTCTTGCTCTTTCCATTGAATACAATGTACCTTTCATATTCGACAATATCGCATCAGTAATTTTTGTCGTTCCCGATAATGCATTTTGTCGCTTGACCTTGAAAAATTCATTCACAAATATATTAATATATTAGATAAATATTGGATACACAAATATATATTAGTAATTTTGTTGGGTTAAAAAGAATGATCAAGAAATAAAACCAAGTAATTTATGATGAAAATTCACTAAGCATGTTGTTCTTATAAAAACTATACAGTGGAATTTCCAATTCTTATTGATTCATTAACCAAGCTTGAAACTTGAGATCTTGAGTTAGCTTAAACTAGCCATTATCTGGCTTGAATGTATTAGCAATACGTTTTAACAGTAATTCATTTCCTGTCAGGAATGAAAATAAATGACTGAAGCAATATTCCACCGTTTTTTTGTAATATAACAAAAAGATTGTTTTGATTATTGTACATTCGTTTATTGACAAAGTTATGATTTCAGGAAATGTTTTCTGTAAAAATAACGAACTCATCTTTTTCTATGATTTTTGGACTTTCATAAAACTATTTAAATTCTTCCAGAAAGTGCTCCAAAATTAAGAAAAATAAATGAGTGCTGAAGTATTATAGTTTGATAACAGTGAATATGATAACACTCAAAAAAAAGTGAACCACTTTGATTCATTAATTAAAACTTACCCCCAATACAAATAAAATTTTCGAATTGGTTCTTTAAAAACTAACCATTAATTTGTTATGCGGACCTATCGCCAACGACCCCTTACCATTTGATTTATTAATAAAATCTGAAATTAAAAATTATCCATAACTGAAAAAAAAACTTCAAAAGCAACAAATCTTTTATAGGAAATAATATTTAGCAAAAACATACGTTTTCTCTGTGCCGGTACTGTAGGCGTTCCATTTTTTGGTATGCTACCAATATCCTTTGACTGTCCTTCAATCTGCAACTACGAGAAGAAACTATCGACACTATGAAACAGTTTTAGAAGTCGCTCAACTTCTCAAAAACACAGTCATATGATTTAATTTCGATTTATTGTTCACTTTTGCTAAAATATTATTTGCATCGTTTTTTAATATTTTTAAAAATATTACAGCCTAAGGGATTCGAAAACTACAAATAATCCAAAATTGCGATGATTCTCTACAGAATTAAATTTTAGTTCTTAAAAATTAAGTACGAGAGTATTCACTGATTTTCTCTGACAGCGAATTAATCTTTCTGATGAATTCATAGATTTTTCAATAGCGGTATTTAGCCTGGAAAAAATCTATAATGAGCAATATCTGAGAAAATGTAATTTTGTGTTTTTAGATTATCCTTAGTAAGGACAGCAATAAAAATGCTTTTTTAATTTGAGAATAGAACATGGAAATGAGATTTTTATCCCGAAAAAAAATATATTCTGCTTATTAAAAAGACAGTAACCATTTTATTATGGCGCGGGAATATCATGATATGGAATGAATGAAAATAAGCAGTAAACTTGTGAATACAAAAGCATTATGAACTGAACAATTATCTCAAAACTTATTGCGTCATAAAACGGGTATAGTAATCAATAAAACGGAATATAAATCAGACATGAATGATATTTTCCAATCATTGAAGTAAAATAGCACAACCTCTCCTTGGATTCACTCATTCTTGTCAGATTTGTTGTAGATATTTGATTGCCTTTAAGTAGTTTTATCATTTCTTCGATGTTGTCTACTGAATTTTGCACCTGTAAAATAGTTAGATAAGCTAATACTATGAATTATAACTAAAGTTAATGTAGGGCGCAAATGACTTTCGTTTAGTAATAGCGCTTCCTATGTTTTCAACTACTGCTAAAGTTAACAAGGAATTAGCATCGATAATGAAAGAAAGCAGGGGAAGAACAATTCTTTAAAAGAAAAAGAACACAAAGAACACTTTTATTTATGTTCAGTACAGAGGTGATTTTTTTGTTTCACTTTAACCTTTAATATTTCATGCAAAACGCCATTTAAATCCTATTAATCCTATCAGCAAACTTTAACAAAGAGAGTTAATCAGCGAACAAATAATAGAGATTTAAGAAGACATATGTGTTTCCCTTAAAAAGACTAATGAGGATTCGAGGTTGTGACGTACAGCTATCTGATCAGCTAATCAGATAATGCAATGCTATAAACGTGAAGAAACAGAATAAAGATTATGAAAATGCTCTTTGATGGAAATCTAAAGTATCAGTTAAATGTGCTAAATTTATAAAATCATACAAGGCAATGGGCTGAAAATATTGTATCCTTAGCAGATGCGCTCTGATTGCATCCATTTGACAGCCTACTATGAATTTTCTTATTTTTTTGCTTTCTGAATGGCATTATTTGATGAATTCCCTTTTTCCTGCAAAATTCTAAAATTTAGAGGTCTGTATCCAACCTTTATATTCATTAATAAGAAAAGAGCAAATGATCAAGGATTCTTTTTAACAAAATTTCAGTTGAACTCTATGTAAATGATAAAGCAATTAAATTAAGCTTCAGTTATTCATGAGCAATTTGTTTCATTATAACAAGACAAAATACATGACTGAGGCAAAATACATGGTTCAAATTCCAAATTAAAAAAAAAAAGAAAATCCAAAATGGACAAAGGATAGATGAACAACTTCGATGTCTTCTAGTTATGTGATGTAATATAATAACCAAAAAAACAATTAATGTCAGAGAGAATGATTGGCATCTTCCTTCATTTACTGTCTTTCTATTCCAATAAGATTTGTAAATCTAACTGCTACCAAAACTTTTAATTTGCCTTTAAATTATATAACAATTTCTACTTTTTTGGAACATGGTTCTTTAATTTAATATTACAACTGTGATTCAGTCTATACACAGATCAGATTATGAGTGCTTTGCTTGAATAAATGAACTAAATATTTGGCAGAATCAATATCAAGCGCATGTTCTGCAAATTAATTTTTTTTTAAAAACAACTAATTTAAACAACAAAATACCAAAGGATTAGACAGAGAGGCGACCGTTTTCAATCTATAGAATTTTATAAAATAAAATTTATGCTAATCTACACTAATTTATTATAACTAAAACTCGAAAAGTTGTCAAACAATCACCATAATTAGAAATCAATTTAAATTTTGGTACGAACTCAAAAAACTGAAAGATTAGAATTTTCACAAAGTGCAACGTTGATGATTTTGGTTGTGTCATATCATTACGGACTGGAGAAGGAAGTGCGAATTTATAATTCACTGTCGTTGTTATGGCCTGCGGTATTTCGGCATATCTCTCGATGCCTGGTGAAATGTTAACTTTACATACTTTATTATGTCATTCTCTCTTTCTTTCCCTTTTTTGTAGTGCATTCCTTGATTCATTGCTCTCTCTCTTCCTCTCTTCTTTTGCACAGTTCCGAACTGTTTTGCACGCTGTATTGATCTCTGGCCCTCCATAGGAAATAAGTTATTTCATTAATCTCAACCAATTTTCTCCATACTGTATTTTCTGGTCTTTTTCCACCTGCTCTTACCTGCTATCTTTTTCCGTCAATCTTAGCATTTTACGCTTCTCACATCGTCAGTATTTTTTATCCATGGATATACTTATATTCTTGCATTTACACCCGTTACTGACAGTATTATGGTCCATGTATTTTACTAAATTCATGATTCCTTTGAATTCATGATGCCAATAAAAACTGAGGAATCATGAAAATTTTTAGAATATTACCAGCAATGTCTAACAAAGAATTACTTTTACGTGTTGAACACGTGAAATATCGTATGCCAGGTGCGGCTAAATCACCTGTTGGAACATTTTGTGTTTACGAAGATCGCGTCGAGTGGTTGGATAATGCCTCGGATGACAAGCTTGTCGTTCTTTTCAATGATATTAGAGGTAAGAATTCCAGGGAGTTGCTTACTGGAGGACTTTAAGAAGCTAAGAAAGCCAGTTGCTGGAACTTGTAGGGAATGAATTATGGAATTTGAACATATTACTACATTAAAGAATAAAAAAATCGGATGCTTTTTCTTCCAATTTTTGATTTTCTCTAATGAAGTGAGTATAGTTTCGTTAAAGGAACCTTCGAAGATAAGTTTAAAAAATACGAAGTGCATAGACTATGCATCTTACTTTTCATTTGCTAATATTTGAATCCTTTTGCTGTTTATAAGGTGCTTTTCGGATTTTAGGACAGCGAATCTCTCCACCAAATAAATCGAAAACGCAGCTCCAAATATGTAAGCATAATGAAGAACAAGCAACATTTGTTTTTGTTAATCCACTTGGGAAGGAGGCAAGTTTAGTTTGCCATTATTCGCAGTGGGAAAATGCTATCAGTATCTGATATGGAAGCATTTATGATTTCATGATTTTTTCATGTCTTTAGTCCCTTTGAAGTGATTCTGATGTTCTCGATGCGATATTTGTTAAATAGCTACATATGTCCGGATTGTCAAATTGGCAAGATTTTCTTATGGAAGAAAAATATAATTAAATCAATTTCAGATGCATGTGAAGGATCGAGATTTGGTAAAAGAAATGTTACAACAGGCACTTATACATCACAGACAAATTATTAGTCAGGTAAGTATGTTTGCTAAGTTTCAGATTTTCGACTTTGAAATTTCTAAATAATTAATTAAAGAAGTTTCAGGATGGAAACTTTTTCACTGATCACCAAATTTTATTAGGATACTTTCAGAATGCTGCGCAGTCGCTAAAGTATAGTAAAACGAAAGAACTAGAAGCAAAGAAAAAGATTTTAGAGCGCAACAGGCATTTGCAAGAATTATACAAGCATTTGGTTGCATCGAAACTGATATCTGCTCAAGATTTCTGGAGCGAATATTATCAAAATGTGAGTTTGAAACGAAGTATTGTAGGCAATTAACTCTATCATAATAATGTTTGTGTATATTGTTCTAGCCTAAAATACGACTCATTTTATTATTCTTAGAACTGTAGTGATCAATAACGACTCAGTTATTATAATTTATTTAATGAATCACTATCCCTCAAATCGAAACGGTCAATTCAGAAAGATGCAGATGGTGGCAAATTAGGTGTGTCGAGTGGATTTCTGAGCAGTATTGCGCAATCCGAAGGCACGAACGGAGTCAAGTTAAATCTCAATGTTGATACAATTCAGAGTATATTCAGAACTTATCCAGCAGGTTTTTCTAAATCCATTAAATTCTTCAATTTTACCAAACTATTTAAAAATTTTTGACAGAGCAAATTGAACTACTCTTTAATTCCAGTAGAAAGGAAACATCTGGAACTAGTACCGCATGAAATGACAGAACAAGAATTTTGGGCCAAGTTTTTTCAGTCACATTACTTTCATCGTGAACGTGAGGTAGCGCCTAGTCCATCCGATCCATTTTCGGATTGTATTAAAGCAGATAATGCAGGTAATGTTTGGTATTTGTCATGCATACTTTAAGATTGGTAATTATCGCATATTTAGAACGTCAGAATCATCAGAATGAATCTGCTGTTTGCTTCTTCGTTTTCATTGCATAAATAGTTCATCATGTTTAATTGTTCCAGAAATGGGTAAACTACTCGATACGAAGATTGCTCATAAAAGTCTCGATTTTTCGTACATCCATGATGATCCTTTAATTGTAGGTTATGGTTTTTAGTTCTTAATTGTGAGAAATATTCAAAAATCTTTTAGTAGATGAAAAAATTTTCTTTGTTGAATTTTGCAAGAACATAAGTTTTCAGAGCAACATATCATCTTTATCGCAATGTGCTTCGTCTTCAAAAGATATCTTGATGAGAAGATTCAATTATCATTCAGAAAGAGTTTTGCTTACTACTGCCGAAAATGAAGTGCCAACTGTTGCTGATTTGGAAGGACAAACGCATGAAGAAAACACAAAAGTATGATTTTTTTGAAAGGGAGGGCGGGTAAAATAATTTTCAAGGACTAATTTAAACCATTAATAAATTTTGATAATGACATTGTGACATGAGGTGTATCCACTTATCCTGGTGACAGCACGATTGTGCGATTCGATTTTCTTGAGAGATAATCAGGATATCAGCATTAAACTTTGTCACTTAAACTACTTGCCGATTCAATTCACTGATTGAAATTGTTTAATCATACTCATTGTGAACATATACATGGTGTACTTTCACACTATTTGATTATTGTTAGTTGGACATTGTAAAGGTTCCTTGACTATCAATTCATCTTGTAAGTTTATTTCTTTTCAGATGCATAAACGGAAATCAGAAGAAGAAAATGAAATAATATTAGAAAGTGAGGAGCTAAGGTCAGATAAGAGCGAAGAACAGTTAGACCATATTTCATTCGCAGTTGGCAGTGTGCTTAAATCAACAAAATGTTATACTGATGAACAGGCACAAGCTTATCGAGATACTGTGCTAAGAGTATGCGAAGCTATGGCGGAGAATGAAGATTATGATGAGGTAAGATAGTATTCTATTCTCTTTAAAGAAAATTAGTTTAAAAGAAAATTTGTTCAGAGTTCTTAAATTGCTCATTATTGATATTCTGATTTCTTCATGTTTACCGAAGACATTTGTTCTACATGAATTGCTCTTTTTTAGTTTTGTTTTAATTTGCAGAAAACGATTGCAGGATTTAAAGGACGATTCGGATAATGATTATGATGATCTCTTAAGATTAGCCACTGCTGGTACAAAAGCTAAGAATGCTACAGAATTGACTCCAACGGACTTGGTTGACTTACAAGCAATCCATGATTCTGTTGCGGAGCTACTAAAGCACTTTTGGATGTGTTTTCCGCCTACGAATCCTGAGATGGATGAAAAAGTTAGCTTATTTTGCGGAATTTTTCCCACTTACTAGGAGTTTTTGTGAAGTATTCACTAATCATATTAAAAATTGTATTTTTATTAGTGTTAATTATGTTTTCAGCTAACAAGGATGAATGTAACTTTGCGAAGTTTTGAAGAAAAAATCACTTCAGCGGAAGAACGATTTGGAGAAAAAAATGTGAGTGAATTATGAGGGTTATTATCTAAATATATTAATGAAATTCTAGAGATAGATCAAGTCATTTGTTATCTGTTTTTATCAAATTAAAGCCGAAGCTTGCAATGTTACTGATTGAGTCGTAATGAATTCGACCAGTTAATGTCGCAAGTTTCCTGTCGGAGACGGATGTATGACCATGTCCAGTGGTAGGTTCAATTCTACGAAATACAGTAGGTATTGACACATTTAAACTAAATACTATTTTGTCATTGACAATATGATACTGTTCAGCAACCTATTTTAAAAGTCCGTTTTTGTGCCTCTGCATCTCTTCCAACCAGTCTAAGAGATAATAATTCATTTAAAATTATAATAATTGATTCATTAGTGAGATCTTAAATATTGTATTGAAAGCAATAAAATCTAAAGTATTAAACTTTTTTATTTTAATCTTTATCTTAATGAAATATAGTCATTTTTTGAAGTGCCAGACAATATTGGATATGTGCTTAGTGCAAATATATATTAGTAAATTAAATTGGACAAAGCTAATTAAATAAAATTGATAGTAACATTGTCATAGTTATAAACAATTATATAAAACAATTTGATAGTTCCAAACAATTATATAAACATTGTTATAATGGAATTTACTTTCAATAGTATTTTGTTTCAAACTATCATTCTGGTAATATGCATTTCAGGAATCCTAGGCAGATAGTTTTAGTGCATGTAAACATTGGACTTGTACAATTTTTACAGGTGTTTGTCCGATCTGAAATCTTACTTTAGTGATGCCTTCATCAATTTATTACATTTTTTATCGATTTTATTTTCAGCTTGCACATTGTCGTCAAATGCTCAGTTTCGCTTATACGCGTTATGATGCATATTTACAGAAAAAGAAGAAATAGGTTTTTTGTAATTTAGATTTATTTTTTGTTTTTGGTGAACCAAAGCAATAGAAAATGATTTGCTGTATCTGTACTTGCTTACGGTAATATCGAATTATCACGCTGGGCTGGAAAACTTTATTATTCCTTAGCTCCTTTGAATTTTTTTCAATGATTGCGCAACCTCCTCCTATTCTTCTTTGAATAGCAAATATTTTTTTATACAAACAGTACAATCTATCCTCCAGTAGGAACAACGAACAACAATTTTTGACTGATTGCTGTTATCCGAAATAAGCCATAATACTTGTCCTACTTCAACATTTTTTTTTTTGAAATTTAGCTTGATTGCTAATAAATTAAATTAATTACATCTGTGAATAAGCGCATTGAAGAAAAGAAGTATGCTTATTCCGTAAACAATTGTATCTGTTTTCGAGAAGTATTTGATTGTTGTTTTTGTACAATAATGCTTCACATATGTCCAGATTTATATTTTATCCTATCCTAGCACTGTATTTGAAGGCGGGTATCTGTAATCACCACTGTTTTTTAAGTCAATCAAAAATCGATTTCGTTATTGATAAGTGGAGATTTTTTTTTATTTGAATATGAACTTTATGGGAAATGAGAATTTCATTTTCAATTTCGTTTTAATTGTCTTGTTTTCTATTTTTTATTGTATGAAGATTTAATGTGGTTTCCAAGATTTCAAATATTTGTTTATATGGTGATTTTGTTTGTTCGATCTCTAAGCATAAAATTCTATATCATTTTTTGATATTTGGACCTTTTTTTAATTTTTGTACAGTTACTTGCAGAATAAAATATCATAACACAAATTGGCGATGTCTGCATTGATGAAATAATGATAGTTTTTCATCATGATTATTGCAAGAACAATAGTAATGATATATAATGAAACCACGGAAACTAAAGTGGCGGTATGGGAAGCCTGTATCTGAAGTATCACGAGTTGTGAAAAGAGCCTAACAGGCGATTTTGAACTTGTCTGTATACGGTCAAGCTTAGTTTTGGGGAATGTTTAAATTTGAATTATGGCGAATAACGCGAAATCTTTGTGCATGTGCTGCAGTGATAATTCATCGTCCGCAATCATATATGTTTAATTGTTCGGTCGACATCAGTACCGACTAACAGGCATGAACAATGAATGCAATTACTAATGCCACGTGATGAATTCATCCTGCCTGTTTCCATAGAAATAGTACTAAAGCAAATCTTTCTTAGAAATGTGCTCTAGCATATTCAGTTCAAACATTTCCAGTCATAATTTTTGATAGATAAATGATAAACAATAAAGCTTAAAAAATTCATAGGAACTTAAAACAAAATATTACAGGACCATGAAGGACTTTAAATTTTGAATAAAACTGTTGTACCTATTTGCTTCAAAAGGATTTGTAATTTCAAGAGTGAAAACGAGATAAAGCCAAATTAATTATTATGATGGTTAGTTTGATTCACTTACACTTTGACACGATATTTGCCTATTCATTCTCACTGTTCGGAATTTTTTGTTTTAATCACTGAACAAATTTAAAGCTTTTCTCTATCATCACAGGCTAAAATACAATGTGATTAATCAAAACAAAGAAAAAAATGCTTATGTAAAAGACTCAGAAAGATTTTGCAAGTTGGTCATCTGAGGGCATTCTTTTTATCGGTGCTAAAATTTTCATTTTGAATTTTTATTTTCCCGCAATATTGTATACAGTTATAACACGCAGCATAATCACGTTGAGAAAAGTTGCTGCAATTATAGAAGTAGGATTTTTCGCTCAAATATGGCATTCTTTTGAAAAGATTTCATTTTTCAGTTTAAAAGACTTCAGTCATAGCCTAAATTTGTATGGGTTATTCAGACAAATCTGATTTTCGTATTTCCTGGTGATTTCACAATTGCTAAATCAATATTGCAATTGCTCTGAGAGAGACAAAGAGAAAGAGGGAGAAAAATGTAACGAGGAAGAAGGGATAATTAGTTATCTAATTTGCGAGGATTTTTTAAGTTTTCACATCAACAAATGTGTTCAATCTCTATAACTAATTTTTATTTGAACAAGAATCCCAAGATAATGTTTAACGAAGTAAATATGATGAAATTAATTATTGTGTTACAATAAATCAAATTGAAAAAGAAGAAAGGTTAGTGAAAGGAATTGATTCTTTGATTTCAAATAATTATGAAATTGGGAAATAAATTGCATGTGGAAAAGATATTGCATAAAATTTCAAATTAAAAATGAGATTTAATAGCAAAATTAGAAACATAAAATTTTTTCGGAAATAAATTGTACATGGGAAAGATATGTATAAATTTTCAAAAAAAATTAATACCAAAAATGAATGGAAACAAAATTTTTTGACTTGCATTATAGATAATACTGCTATGTTAATTAATATCACTTGCGAATGAAATGAATTCGGTCAAGAATTCTTAACTGAAAGGTGAAAGTTTAACAATACATGAGATTTCGTTGAACCGAGAAGTATCGGAATGTTTCTTCTAATATGCACCCGCTATAAATATAACAATAATTAGCACTAATTAACTGTAGTTATACATGATTTGGCACGGAACTAACTTTTTTAAATAAAATAAAAGTAATTTGCGAAAATGAGAATTAGAAATGGAATGTAAAAAACCATATATAATCCAGCAAAGATCAGCTTGAATTAAAAAATGATCATTTCTGATTAAAGCATTATGATGAATGGAAGTACCGAAGCAGGAAAAGAAGCTAAGAAAGTTTGAGGTGAAAGGCACTGTTAGTCTTCTCAGATCATTGAGAAAGATTAAGTCTTGTTAATAATTCTGTAATTTTTAATTATACATTATCCGCGATTTTTGAATAATTTCTCAAAAAAATTATCTTTCCAATTAATCTTTCATTTGATAAGATTAATAATTTCAGACTTTAAAATTTAGATCTTCAAATTTATATTTTTTGATTTGCACGATATTCAACGTTTCAATTTTGTAGTTCTTTTTTTTTAAATCTTAGACCGTACTCGATATCGTAATATATCAAAAGGTTTTGCTATTACTTTCTTTTGTTCGATCAATTAAACAAGCCATTTAGAGAAGGAGAAACTTATTCAAAAAAATGATATGATAACTCTCTTATCTCTAAGATAAATAATTTTAATAATATCTGCAACAACTATTTGAAATACTTCAGACATAAAAGCAATTAGTTGTTTTGTATCGTGAAATAGAGAAGAAAATATGGAAAAAAAAATTTCGTTTAATCGAACGCTGAGCAGATGAAACAAACGAATATCAGGCACTGTTTCATTTTAAACAAATTATGATTCAAATATAATTTTTCCTTTTTGAAATATTATTTTTAAAAGATAAAGAAATTAATTATTCCTTCTTGATTGCATTTGGAAGAATGATTCAAATATTTTTGCTTACTGCCATCTTTCAGCAATCACAATTTAGAAATTTCTCCACGATGATGAATCATCCATTATCAAGATTTTAGTTTTTTTTTGCAAAATATCGTAAAATTTTTACTAGAATTCTTGCAATTTTAAAATTTTCTATGGAAAAATTGTGAGCTCTTTTATCAATTAATAATTAATAAAACATACATTATTTATTGTAAAAATAAAGTTGTCGAAGTTTTGTATGCAATTTTTACACGTGATTGAAATTAAATAAGTCCTTCGATACTGGGAGGCTGCAAATAAGGCAAGTTTTTGGCATGTTGATATTCTTCGAACTGTGGTCGATATTCGCCGCGACTGCGACGTCTTTTTTTTAATTTGCGATAGCCAATATAGCCAACAATGATGAGACCAACAAATACAATCTAAAAAAAAACTGTCAAATTTCGTAATAATTCTTGATTTGATAAATTTTGGCTTATTTGATCATATGACATCCATTTCGCCTCCTATTATTTTACGAAAAGAAAATTTTCAAACGTCAAAGTGGAATATCCTACTCTTCCACTATTTTCATTTTATTTTTATTTACTGGACTGGATATTTGCGAAGATACCATTATTTTTAAATCGGATTTGATCATTCACTAACTTCCGAAACAAGCCTAAATTAACAAATGCTATTTCTTTTAAACTTGTCAGATTGCTGATGCTAAATTGCTTGTCACAGTTTGAAATATTCTATGATAAATATTTTACGCGTTTTAAAACAATGTAGCCTTTTCTCTACCGCATTACATTAACAGATGAAAATCAAATTTTACCAAAAGCGTGCGTGAATCATAATGATCGAAATCAAATTAAATTCTTAGGATTCTTGAAATGGAAAAAGATTTTGTGATGAAGATTTAAAATAATTTCATTAGAATTCGTCAATTCAATAAGAATTCCTATTCATAGGAACAGGATATGAATGACTTATATGTTTCGATCAACTTTGATTATTAAGAGAAACGTTGAATCTCCCTCTCTCTCAAAAATACTTTTAAATTTTCAAAATTCTCCATTTCTCTTCCTAACTGAAAAGTTGATAACACTTATATAAATCTTAATTAAATGAAAATGTAAAAATTTTCTCCGAATTACCACATTGAAATCAATCCTTTCATTTCAAAGCAATAATATTTCGTCAAAAAAAGTACTTACCAAAAGAATAGTTACAATAGCACCTATTCTACTACCATTCAAATCATCAGATACGTCAGTTTCATTTTTTATTGCAGTTGTTGTAAATATTGTTGTGCTATTTACTTCAGACATTTCAATTAGCAATTATCACTGTCACTAGCACAGACTATCTGTAGAGGGAGATAAGGTAACAGTAGTAATTGCAACAGTAGCGGTAAATCGAACAGCATTCGGACAGCAATAAAGTGCTGTCAACAATTTCCGGAATATTTCTGGAACAAAATATTTTCTCTCTTTTTAAGATCTGATAATGTTAAAATACGATATACAATATAAGTGATAACAATAATTTTGCATTTTTAAAAATAATTCCTGATAATATTATTGAATGTAATTTGAAGGAAAATTTGTGATTTGATTTGCATATTATATGTTTTAAATGCACTAGTACACATTAATATTATATATTAAAAGGAAGATTAAAATAAAATTGACGTGAAGAGCAGATGGAAAAAAGGGCCAATAATATTATTTATGAAAATTACCTTTTTCTGTAAAATGTTTTTTAGTGGTTTTAAGAAACGTTCTCTCGAAAATGTTTCTTAAACAATCGTAACTCATAAAAAAGTTATTTTACAATTGTAACTCATAAACAAATATCCTAATTTATTTTGTAAACAAAATTTGAAACGGTGATTTATATAATGTAATTTTTTTCTTCTAAAAACCGAAAAATGATAGGCACAAATTATAGCAATAATTTCAGTGCTAACATTTTAAATCTATATTTAATAGATGTTTCCAGAATTGAAACTATTTCTTACTTTACTTTTCGATTCCGAAACTTCGCACAAACAAGATTACAGATGTTGAATTTTTTTATCGCTAGCTGAATCTTAAAAAAGATTATGGCATTAATTTAATGGATCTCAAAAATCTCTTTCTTTTATTTTTTAAACAAATTTTTCATTCCTTAAAAATTTCATCTTTCTGAAACAAGAAAAAAAGCTATTTATCAGTAGCTATCAACGAGTTATCAATGATTCCAATCCATGTACACAGATAAAAGTGGAACAAAAAACAAAAAAAATTGAGGAAGACTTACAAAGTTTTTTTTTCATCTTAAATTCTTTGTACTATTGAATTTTTTTCAAATTAAAATACGTAAGTTCTTCCTACAAATCGTCTGAAGTAAAAAACAATTAATACCCATACAAAAATTAAATTCACCAATTATTGTTATTGTGTAATTACGCAATATTTTTATTGTTCATTTATCACTTTTTATGGCCCATTCAAAAACAATAAATTTAAGACATTATTATTTATGGAAAAGTCACTTTAAAAAAAAAGTTTGAAGGAGTTTAGAGCAGGATAGTAATTAAGGAAGTGATAAATTTTGCAAATCGAAAAAAAAAACAAAAATGAAAAATAAAAAATAATTTTTTAGCAATTCATAAAATGATCAAAAATCATCATGTAAAAAAATATCGAGTCTTTCCAATAGACTAAAAAAAGCCAGCTATCAAATCATTTCTGAAATTATCTTCGAAAAACGAATGATAAAAATTACGTTGTAGTTCACAGTTTACATTATAACATTCCTACCTTATCATTCGAATAATACGACGTGAAGTTATCATCATTTGAAGATTTTGCTTTTTTATTTTTTTCAAGCAAACAAATCATGATTTCGTCAAAATTTTTTTAATGATTCATATTCAATGAGTCATTCAAGCAAACTGCATTTCGAAAATGGTAGTAAAAAGAAAAAAATGAAGAATTTGTGACATTTTACACCCGTTTTTTTTTTTAAATCAAACTTATATGTTTCATGCCACTATAATGGGATAACAGAAAATTAAAAACTTATTTGAAAATAGTAATAAATGATATTCAGGACAGGAGAAATGAAAATGTGAAGAATCATATGACTGAAAAAGAAAAGATACCCGAGAATTCTTGTTGACATTTAGGGCATTCTTGTCTGCATCAACAAACTACCGTAATGAAAAAAAGATTATTATTTATTATTACATATTTATTCTGCACGATGCTAATATTATTGAATTGTTGTTTCTGCAAATTATAAATATTATCTATATAAAAAATTTGCAAAATAAATTTAAATAAATTTCCGACAATTAACGATTTAGTATTATTTTTAAATTCGAATAGGGAATTAAAATCGTAATTTTCGAAATGATTAAAATATTTCAAATTGTAAATATACACACATTAAAAAATGTTCAATTTTAGACAATTCAACGATATTTAAAATCAAATATTCCAATGCGATTTCAAATAAAACACAAATACGTGATATTGAAGTAAAGATTCATGTAAAGCAATTCAACAAGAATAATTGAAAACTAATGCATAATATAATGCATCGTATGGGGTGATGATAAATATGCAACAGAATTTGTTCAGCTTTAAATATAACATGAAGTTTGGAATTTGACAAATTTAAACAATGAATATTTGTGAATGAAATGAAATGAATATTTGGATGAAAGTTCCCATTTTTTGATGTATTACACTTCCTATTCATATCATTCTGTGCATAACTTTATTTACACAATTGTTTGACATATCATTCAAGCAATATTTTCGCATTTTAAAATTCATTGAAATCAGAAAAAAAACATGAATAAATTCTTTTCTTTCGTTTATATCAATCAATTCTTTTTAAAATGAAAAAAAAAGTGAAAACAAATTAGTTCAAGGAAATGCGCGACATTTGCACTTCAGCATGCTTCATTCGGTCATTGATCAGAAATAAACGATATCTATGAAACGAGAGAAAACTGGCTAGTCTGATTTGAAATATGCAAATGAAAGCAAATCAATTTCTCTCTTCTTCTCTCTCCCCTTCTCTCTCTCTCTCTCTCTCTCTTCCATTTCATCTTTCCATCCTTTTCAGTCAGTTACTTTTGCGTTACTTTTATGTGACATCTTTATTTGGCACTCTTCTCTTCCGATACACCCCAACTCTTACATAACTACGCCATAAAACTGACTGAAAATTGTCACTTCATTTCAATTTTAATTGAATCAATTTCTGATACTCATTCAACCATTACCTCTTCCTCCCACTCATCCATCCATCCAATCATCTTCTCGTAAATTATGTCGCAAAAAAGAAAAAAATATTTGAATTTGTTGATATGCTAGTTAGTGTTAGTGTAACCTAACTTTCTTATTCAGGTGTAAAATTCTTAAATTTTTAATGAAAGAAGGACAAAACAACAAAGATCAGAGGTCAATCTTCAATATTTATGAGCTAAATTAGAGAAAAGAACAAGTTTGGAATAAGTTAATCGACCGGAAATATTATTGTTTTACTTGAATATTTTATTGCAATGCAATGAATTCAAAAAGAATATAAGTATTATTGTGCCTTTAAGAAAAAATTACTTACATTCATGAAAGGTAGACTTACTGTATTACTTATATGACTCACTCGATGATTCATATTCACTTTAATCAATCTTTACATATCAAATATGACCTAAGAGTTACTAAGCAATATTTCAAATCCAAGTTTATTTAAAAAATGCAGCCTATTTATTATTATTATTTGTTGTTGGCAATTTGATTGTGATCTTTTGCTAACTTACTTATCATTAGCTGTCAAAGGATCCGATAAGCCATTCTATCACTACAAATTTAATTGATAATGATTAGATCAGAGCAGATTAAATCGGAAATAATTAAACATCAGGAAAGCAGGATCCTAATACTGCTATTTAAGAGCGAATAAATTTATGATGAAATTTTCAAAACTTCTAAATAAAAAATACATGTCCTGAATGAATTAGGAAGGCAATCGATAGGCTAATGTTAGTGAAAAATTGTTAGTAAAGAAATTGAAATTTTTACTTCACTTTTCTGACTTACTAACAAACACCTGAAAAAAGAAACACTAACAAAAGTGTAATGCATTTCCTGCAATTGCTAAAAATATTCTCTCAGAGTTTTTAAAATTAATAAAAAAAAAACATCATAAAAAATATAATTCCTTTCAACTGAGGGATTAAATGGAATGTCAATGAAATATTTTTCATCGAATCGTTGCTGCACTTCGTGTTTATTGAAGCATTTAATTGAACTTTTAAAAAATAACACACTTCCAGCTATCATTCATTTACATTTAGTAGTGATATCATTAATGAAAATAAAACGGATTTTAAAAAAAATTTGATTTACTAACAATTCGTGTAGATAATTTTAAAAAATTATTAAATGAAACAACAATTAATTTTTAGCACTTCACAATTTGCATAATATCCTATTAAAAATTAATTGCTTAAAAAGATGAAAAAAGTTGCAGGAAATTAAAATTAAAGATTTGATTTTGAGAAAGAAATCAACGAGAAATTTTATATGACACATGCCTTCTGCAAATAGGCTAATCTGGACTTTCCGTGTTCAATATCTCATAGTTCCATATCAAATTAATCGATGGAATTTATCAGCGGGAATTTTATCAATTTTTTTAAGTTAGGCAGAAAAACGGGTAGAAAGAGAGTGGAGAAAATAGAGGAGATATAAAATATTATAAGTTACTAGAAAATAAAAATGAATTTATCTGCACAATTTAAAAAAAAGCACAAGAGTTGAAAAATAGTTTCGTGATAACAATTAGTAGAATGGATTCAACTGATCCTCCATGAAGTTTAAATATATTACCATAGAATAATTATCACTTTAACTGATGTAAAATTTATCTGAAATAAATTTCCTGAAGATTTGAAACAGAAGTTTTAATGGGAATATGAAAATGTAAAGAAATGAATGGAAATCAATTAATTAAATCAGTTTTTGTTACCAGAAAGTGCAGCAGAAAATTAGAAGGAAATAGTAGATTAATTGATATGTTTGGTCAAAGAATTCACTCATTTCATCACTTTCCAATTTTACTATTGACAGTCAGCTTATCAACGAATAATTTATTTGGCCGTCTATTATCACTTCAAGATTGCATAAAATGAAAAATTTCTCAATATTTTGACGTATCAGTAAAATGGAAGATAAAATATTTTGAGGCGGAATTGTTGTATGTCAAAAAAAGAAATTGAAAGATTCATAAATATGCTAAAATTTCTAAAAGGGAGTGTGCACATAAGGAAGAAAAGATAGCAAAGGACAAGAAGCATTTCCGTCCAATGTAAAATTGAATCATTCTCGTCAAGATCAGACCCAGGAAAGCACTCTTCCCTGCTTTTGTAAACAACATAATTCGTTCCAACCAACCAATCATCACCACCATGATCATTTAAATAATACAAAATGTTCAAACATATTGATTGTCCTTTAAACTTCTCGCCCCATCAATTTTTATATTTCAACTTATATTATTACAAATCTACGCATCACATTTTTTCTGTAACTCATTTATTGATGAAATTAATTTTAAGATAATAAATGAGGATTGAATTATTGAATTGCCAAAACAGAATAATTGCTAAATTCTTATTCTCATTTAATTATTTTGGAATTAAAAATAATTCAAAAAATATTTAAGCTTAACATTTGTACCACAATGCATCGAACAGTTTTTTGACATTCCTAATGAAAAAAATTCCATTCATTATGTGACATTCGAACAATATATCTATCAATCAATAATTTAAGTGATGTTTGTTTAAATGAAATGATTGCTTATAG